TAATGAGCCATATTATTTACTAGGAAATATTAATTAGAATTATGGCTGACATTTCGTGGAACCACAACAAAAGTCAGTGATGCTCGTTCAGAAATAATGAATTATTATAAAGAAATTAATTTGTCTACTAGTAATCGCCCTCTTTAAAAGTGTCCGACTCTTATCGCTGAATTTATATTGTACCATAGGGAGTGCACCATCTGTATTCATAAATATAATCTGTGGCGAGACGGTAGTCGTTACTCGATACATTACAAAATACTAAACTCAATATAGAAACTATTGGGTCGAAAGACAACTACACAGTTTTTTATATTCATACACTTCATTTTTAAAGTATAATCTTTTTACCTCTGCTGGACATTTCATGAGGAGTACGTTTTCAGTTGCTTCGCCGATTTTGTGCCGATTTTTTTTTTTTTTGCAATTCGAATCCAATTAACCGACCCCAAACTTTTCGATCCGACTTGTCGCTGCTAAACGACGCGCATTTTGCGTTTTTCAATAACGCCGTGGACGCGCGCTCGTTTGCAATTCACATCGCCGTTCGCCTTCGAGCCTATAACGCACCGACGACGATCTAAACATAATACAGTACAATGTGTAGGTATACCCGGCGAACGACGCGCGGCAAAGTCCATTTAATCTCGATGTGTTCATTAGCCCCGTGGTTCTCAACCGGTGTGTCGCGACACATTAGAGTGTCACGTAATACTGTGGAGTGTGTCGCCAAAATATTATTAATTAAAACTATAAGCTTTCAATGTATGAACGTATATTATAACGGAATTATGATGAAGTAATAAAAGCTACATATAAAAAATAATTATAATGATATTCTTATTGATTCTTATTTATTAAAAATATCATCAACTATAACGTTAAAATCCAAATTTTGTATGTCTCAAAGTGATTCGTTTCGGATTTCTCTGTAAATCGAATACACAGGAATAATAAGAATTGAAAATTTCGTTTTATTTTCAACCTCATACATGTCTGAATCAGTATATTGGAAATAACAAAAAGCAAAAAAGATATTAAGAGTAAATTACGCGAAACTTTGTTAACCATTTACCCACGAATCAAAGACCTACGCAGGCCTGGATGTTTATTGACTAATACTGTTTTTCATAATACTTTCTTTGAACTTTTAAAATTTTAATTAAATAAATTGAAACTTTTTTTTAAGTTTTAATTTTTTAAATAAGATTCCATTAATTATTTCAAGTGTGTCGCCACTTTTATAGATATAAATTGAGATGTCGTCATAAAGAAAATATTGAGAACCACTGCATTAGCCAGTGAAACGTAAATTATTCACCCCGAAATCCTGGAAGGTATACGGTGTAAAATGGATTACAAGAGACGCGCACAATCAACCGAGTGTAAATTATTTCTACGGGAGTACGTCATGTGTCTATTTCGTAGCACAAGCGTGTATTTGAAGTACGGATTTCACGTAGGACCGTATTAAAAAGGGGTCGGGGCAGAATCTAAGAGTAGTCGAGGCCCTGGAGCTTAATGATTCCCTGGAGATATGGCTCGCAGGTTAACGTTTCAAATACGGAAACTTCGATTAATTTGTTTTTTTTCGAAACATTTTTTACTTCAGGTTTCTCTACGCGTTACACTCCAAAATATTTTTTTTAACCTTCAAAATGTCGATACAAAACAATATGCCAAAATGGTTTTAGACTTGCTGCTGAAGTTCCTTTACTCTATTCCGTCTACGACGATTGGATGGACGGTACAAAGTTCTCAACGTAAAAACTCGATTGTACTGATGTGCCATCAAAACGACGTTGATCGTTACGTATAAGAACGTTAAAATCACGTAGTACAGGTACATCAGTGGCGACTCGAACTTTTTCTCCGCGAATCACGTGTAATTCGACGCGCGAAGGTTAAACATTGAACCTCCAACAGCCCCTCCGGGTGTTCCCTACATGCACGCGGTATGCTCTCGACGTTGTTTTTAAAATGCACGGGTGTGCGCTACTTATACTCTCAGGTCTCCAGTATTTCGCGGACCGGCATTACATTTAATCAGTCTTTTAGGTTTTAACTTCGGCTTGATTTCGTCGTAGACATTCGGTTTTCCCTCGGACGACCAGCGTACCAATCTACGAAGCAACCACGGACGGTGCACATTATTACTGCGTTTAAAACAAATTTCATTCCTAACCTGTAAAAAATAAAAAATAAAAACGTACGCATTTCGGTTTTAGTTAATATTCGCACGACTATTTCACGCCACCGCCGTTTAAATCGTAAAAATGCCCACGTCCAGGCGCACTCGTGAACAGTTCACCGGTACGACGGTTCACACGGTTTTCGAAAAACGAATGCGTACGGCTCTAAAGTAAAAAAAAATATAACCAATGTGATATCGTGAATCGCACAGCCACTCGAGACGCCGTCGAGGGGCACAAAACATCGTTGTCGTCGGTTTTACCGAAAAAATAAAAAAAAAACCGATTATCGGACGCGGTACCGATTACCTCCGCCGTTTTTCAATCCGGGTCGGCCGTGTTCGTCCCTACTTGTAATGTACAAATACACGTCGTACACGTTTTACGTTGCGTTAGAGGGAACTTTCGATCCCCGACCATAACTGCAGCATTAAATATGCGCGTAACGTATACGGCAAGGCGGGTGTTCGGTAATACGCAGATTGCGATCGATACCACTAACAACCGTCGATTAAACGATCGACGATAACGACGTAGAGGTGTACCTGTACCGATGTTGTCGTGTTCACGTTGAGCGCGGGGAAAGGTTATGGGAAAAAAGTTTGCCGCGCCGGAACGGCAATAATAATAATAATAATAACGATAGTATAATTCGGTAGACAATTTTACCGTGAACACGAAATAAAGCTAACGATTACGGCGGTATATCCGTCCCTACGGTACACGTATCGCATGCAGCGGCCGCGTGTTCGTTCGCGCAACGGTTGTTTCGCTCGTCTCGCGCGTTCGATTAGCACGAAACAAGGGAGGGAACGAAAAAAAAAAAAAAAAAAAAAAACAAAAAAATTACACGGAAGACGATGGTCGTCGCGTGCACGTGCGTCGAAGATATGATTATATTAAATACGCGCGTATCGGATCGATCGATCGGTCGGACCGGTCGACCGGAAATCGACCGGAGACGGCTGTTTCTGCGCGCCCGATGCCGATACGCAATCCGCGTGCAGTGAACAACGTTGTTATTAATAATAACAATATTACCGCGGAAACCGTAAGACGGGAACAATTAACAGAGCTTGAACCAAGTGGAAACGGACACGCGGCATCCCGTATTCGTGGTGCGTTATAACCGAACTAAATATCGTTTTTGTTCGATCGGCTGCACAAATCGTCCGCCGTGTGATTCGATCTCCTCTACCTGCGCTGCTGGCACCACTTTTTCATTAATCGCTCCGTCGGGCGACATCATCGTGCGAACGCATGCACGTTATATGTTTTAACGACGATGATTCGTGTTCAGAAAAATAAAAAAAAAAAAACTGAAGACTTATATAAACAATAATCGACAACCATACATGGCCGCCACCACCGCCAAAGTGCAAGAACATCGTAATAACACCGTGGGTAGGTGTTACGTACCTGTACTGGAAAATAACGACATAAAATAGATTTTTTTTGCTTACCAGTCTCTTCTCTCGCAAACAAATGTTAACGGTACGCGGACGTGATTGATAATTAACATAGCAATAACGATATGATTGGAATGTTGGAAAAAACAAAAACAAAACGACCATTTCGACACATTGAACAAAATAATATTTTATTTCTAAAATGTTTTTCCTTTATTATTATTATTATTGATTAATCAATTTAACACAGGATTTGAGCAAAGCAATTACAACAACAACGTTTCTGAGTTTCACGCGTCGACACGTTCGTTTAAAATAATAAAAAATATACACAAATTATTATTATATGATATATATAAATATATGTAGGACAATTTACGTATAAATATTTCGTAGTGCTGTACAATACAATCCGGAGAAAAACAACAATACAAAATTAACGCGCATCGGGAAGAGCAGGGCTGTTGCGCGCGTTTTGAAAAAAAAAATTATAAAAATTATATCCCATATAATAGACGTGGTTTTTCTTTTTCTTTCCGACGTAAAAATAAAAATAAATAAAAATAAAAATTCGTAAGAAAATACTCGCGAAAAATAAATGATAGTAAATACAAATTTGTCCCTGTTTACCGTTACTTAATAATTATTTGACAATTTCACAACAGTTTTGAATACGTTTCTATCACAATTTGTAAGTTTTTCCCTTTTTTTTTTCACCACTTATTCATTGATTCGTCAATCGTATACAATAATCATCATTAAAGAAAAATATTTCGCTTCCGTAATATGATTACACATAATGTATATTTGTATTGAAACTGTATTAACAAACGGTTATTGTGTGTGCTAAGAAAAAAAAAACATTTAAAAAAATTATGAACGACGATGGAAAGTGTAAAAATATAGTAAAATAATTTTCCCAGTTTAACCGTAAGGAGGTAACGCGCGAACGACAATGAAATATGTTCGGAAATTAAACGGTCGTGAACTGATTTTGCTAGTTTAATATTACGCGAGTATAAGCTAAACATCATTTATTTTCCCCGTATGATTAATATTAAATTTGAGCAAATATATTTCGGCGCGTAACGTATTAAATGTACCTATTGTAATTATAGTATCATCGTATACAGCGAGAGAAACGGTGTGTAGGTGAGGGGTAGAAAACGAGAAGAAGAGAAAGATTTAGAAAATTAAATTAAAATAATAATAATAATGATAGATAATGCCGATACAACAATTACATCGATTTCGAAAACAATATTTTTATTTATTTTTTAATTTAATCTAAACTATACGACGATAACAATAGTAATAATAATAATAATAATAATAATAATAATAATAAAAATAATAAAAAGTCATAAAAAACGAACTTACGTAGGATGGCACGTTGTACATACATAATAAATATAACATAATATCACACACCCTGTTCACATTATTTATCGATACATAGGTAAAAATGTCTAATACATATTTAAGGATTATAGTATAAAAAAAGAAAGAAAAAAAAATGACACGTACGTATAGAGTAATTACAAATGAAGACGATATGATTGTCGACGAATGAAATAATAATAATAATAATAATAAATAAATAAAAATAAGAACAATCTTTCCCGTTCAGGGCGATTAGAAAATATCTAATGAAATCTGGATATTATGCTCATGGCGTGCGCGTGGTCGGTCGAGAGAGAGAAAAGGAATCGATCTGTACACTTTATGACATACGAAAATATTCGAATCGTCGCGCGGATAGAATAATTAAATTAAATATACATATCTTTGGTTTTGTTCGAAAGCTGTGTGCGCACGTGTGTGTGTGTATGTGTGTGTGTGTGTGTGTGTTTACTTAGGATTACTTATTTACATACGTTGTATTAAAAAAAAAAAAAATAATAATAATAATAATAATAATAATAATAACCGTTCGTATTAGTTACACGTGCAGATGCGCTGACTTCGGCGGTGAAACAGTAGTAGTATAAAAATAATAGTAACAGTAGTGGTGGTGGTGGTGGAGGTGGTGGTGGTCGCAGCGGCAGCACCGGCGGCGACTCTAAGCGGCCGCTGCGCCGCGCGGCCGCCACTATTGCGGCTCCGACTTGCACGGCGGCATCACCTCGAGGGGCGGCGAGAGCAGCAGCTGGTGGCCGCCGGGCGGCGACGAGCCGGGCGACAACGGGTCCAGACCGAGCGCGGCGGCGGCCGACGCGGACGATACCATCTCGTAACGCGAGTGCGTGCGCATGTGCCGGGTGATCATGTCGCGGCGGCACGCGGCGTACGGGCACTGGGGACACTTGTACGGTTTCTCGCCGGTGTGCGTGCGCTGGTGCGTGCTCAGGTGGTCGGACCGCGAGAACACTTGGCCGCACACGCGGCACGTGTACGGCTTGACGCCCGTGTGCAGGCGCATGTGCCGCGTGAGCATGTCGCTGCGCGCGAACGACCGGTTGCACACCTCGCACGGGTACGCTTTGGTGGCCGCGGCCCCGGTGCCCGACCCGTTGCCGGACGGGTCACCGCCGACCGCGTTATCG